CCACATCAATAAGGGCCCTCTTACCGTACCACATCTCCCAGAGCATTATGCCGAAGCTGTACACGTCTGCTTTGTAATCGTACATACAAGACTTGATCACTTCCGGAGCGAGATACATAGGAGTTCCCGCCATGGTACCCGTTATAGCTTTGGCTTCTTTGGAAACACCGACATCGGCTACTTTGGCATCATTTTCTAGCGACAGCTGTGGGAGGATAAGATAATATCCAAGTAAATTGATACCACAGTCCAAGATTTTCCCTCTCAAAGAAGGCAAGGCAAAGTCAAAAAGAAAACAAGGGGCCTGGAGGCATTAACCTTGAATGCGTTGTGACACTGGTTTTACGTGGAAAATAATCAACTTAATGCTGACTCTTCAAAGAACAGGAATTAAATGGAAAAATAAGACAAGGAGGACAAATTCAAGAATACGGGATATGATGTGCGGTCACGATAGCCAGTAGTTCCAATTCTTAACTTACCAATATATTTTCCAGCTTGAGATCTCTATGAACGATACCTTGTCTGTGAATGTAGTCCAGGGCATCGGAAATTTGTTTTGCCCATCCAATCACATCTCTCGTAGCTGTAACAGATGATGATGACTCACCAGGTATCTTGCTTTTATCATGGAAAATGTGCTTCATCAAGTTTTCCTTGCAGAGCTCCATCACCAGTATTGCTTTCAGCTGATTCCCTTCCTTACGCAGTGCAGCACCATAGAACTTTACAATAAAGGGATAACTCAGTTTCCTACAAAAATAAAAAAATACGTATGTGTAAGACAACCCATACTCTTTCAAAGAACAGTAGGAATATTTTCTATACTATTCTCTACACGTTTTCCGATACTAAAAGGAAGATTTTGATTCTCAGTCAAAAGCTTTTTCTGTTGGCAATCATTTCCCTTATTCTCTGGTTTATTCAGCGGTGATGCAAGGAAAAATTAGATGCTTTTCACTCTTAATGTGTGACTCAGGGAATTTAAAGGGAAAGACCTGTCGGTGAAATGAATGGTGAGAAGTCTTACTGTAAAGGTCAGTCTCACTTACCATCTCGATGTGCCTTAATACGTACCTAGATTCTCTGTCTTCCGAAGTCGTCAGGAAAATATTACTTAATTTACATAATTCATTAATCTTCTTATTACAATATCCATTTTTTAGTTCATGCCTTGCAACCCACCACTACGAGCTCCTTGAGGAGAAAACAATGATACAATTAGGAAAATGTCCCATTAGCTACCAGTCAGAATATATTAAGAGCTTCGTAAAGATTTTAGCTGAGGGGCATTCTTTTTTAAAAAAACAATAACCTGTAAAATTTCAAGATCCAGTGGTAAGAAAACCAACCTGAGTATTTCTATTTCAGAAAGGAAGCCACTAGCTGTAGCATCGTTAAGCTCTTCGTTCAACACTTTCAAAGCCACACCTACGGGTTGCGCTTCTCCTTGAATCTTTAATACTCCCTGATAAACAGAAGCGAACGCTCCAATTCCAAGACGTGCATCGTCCTGCCACTCCAGATCGTTGCAACTGATGTCCATGGTACGGACCTCTTTGATGCCAAATAGGGCCATTTCACCTCTTAATTTCACACTTTCTTCGTATAACGGCTTGTAGAACATTTCTATATCTTTCTTACAACGATTCTCATCTCCCAATTTTTTACACAACATTATGTCCTCTTTTATGAGCTGAGGGATCCGATTTAAGACCTGTTTGAGAAAATTCTGAGCTTCTTCAAGCTGCTCCTCCACGAACGACTTTAGCTGTTGTTCTTCCGCTGCTTTCCTTAGATAATCTTGCGAAGCTTTCGCCATGAAGGCACACTTGTCTTTGTTGTACTTCCTCGTTTTATTCCAGTCCTCCAACTTCTCTTTAACAGCTATGGCACCAACAAATGGGACACTGACCACTAAGACAACCAGACCGACTGGAACCCAGATTGGACTCGTGACCCCGATGACGACTTTTTCGGCGACGCTAAAATTGTTCGATGCTAGGGGATCACTTCCTGAGTTGGTACCACCTCCTGCTAAGACAGAGCCCTCCAGCGCTCGAAGGTTACCCTCGACGTAGTTGAACCTCTGCTGGAAGTATTCAATCAAAGAGGAACGAGCCTTGGAAAAGACATGACTCTTTTCTTCCCATTCTTTGATCGTCTCATGAAGTCGCTTTGTCAGCGCCTTTTGGATGCGGTCCTTGGTCACCTCCCAACTTGTTTCAGTGTTTGGAATATCGTCTAACGTCCAGGAAGTAAACTTCTCCATAACGTCGGCAGAATTAAGGTATCTGGACAGTGCACTTACAGCGTCGTCTGTCTTGTTTTCAAGGAAAGTCTGCAGCTCTTTGCTTAATGTACCTTGCTGCCTCTCAATACTTTGAAGGCGATCAGTGATGAACATCATCCTATCGATCACATCTTTACGATCTTCGGACGAATTACGAATGAATGCTTTCGTGTGGACGGCCATTCGTGCAAGAAGATAGTCGAGCCATCTAAGAATAAAGCCATAAACTCAATTTTTTAAACTGTCTTTCATGCTTCGTCACTATAATTATTTATGCAGAGCCCGGCAGAAGAGTTTGCCGGATTTTTCGCATTGAGTATATATTTTCTGCACTGAATTATCTCGCTCATAGTTTTTTTTTCCTGGAAGTGTATTTCTCGCAGCCAATCAGAATGAAAATATTCCAATTTCTTAAATAACCATTTTGTCGCTATGGATGTTTAATGCAATTTACCTCCACTGAATCTGTAGTCTTGCCTCAATACTTTTCAGTACCATGGACTTGATGCCGTTCATTAGTTCACCAAACTCTTCTGTGACCCCTCCAAGCTTCTGGGCTTCACTAGCAACTTTTGCTGACATATAAATGATCTGAGATTCTGGATCTAATCTAGGCCAGCACTGTGTGAGTTTACTCACGATGAAGTTCTTCACTTCATTCATTTCTTCTGACGGCACCAGGTCCCACTTGTTGCAAACGAACAGGGCACAGTTTGAGGAAGATTCCCTTTGTTTGTCCAGGGATACCTGCCTGGCGTGTTCGATAAGTGCTTCTACCTGAAGGCAAAGAGACGGAATAAGCTACTTGTCGACTTGATTTTTTTGGCTAATTCAGTAGTTCTCTTTTTTTGGAAGGTTATGCCTCACGCTTATCACTCTGGGAGAGAAGAACGTGTTCGTTAGGTTCCGTTAAGTTACTCTTACACATCTCAAAAATAGAGGATTAAAAATATTACACCATTTTTGCAATACTGAAGTCCTAAATTTAACTATTTTGGCGATAAGAATGCAGCTAGAATGTTAAATTGCCTTACCCTGTCTCGCTGTATTCCACCGGCGTTTTCACTGTTAATGACGTAAATAAATGCGAAAGCCTCTGGGAGGTACTTCCTTACGATGTCGTCCATGATGGGAGATTCGCAAATTCCTGGACTATCGACTATTACGACATTTTCCTAAAAGACGCGTAAAATATGAGATGCAACAAGCACTTTGTTGTACAAGAGGATAGCTCTTTGAATCTAGAGTACGTTTCGATTGGTTGTTATAAAAACAGAACCAAATTAATTACAGCAGCCTAGAGGAGCAAAGAAAGATATCCCACAAGGCAATGGGCGAACAACTCTTTTCAGGGGAAGATGCGAGTCAATATATGCGATTGGTTTTAGTTTCGAATCTGATTGATTGATTGATTGATGAATTGGCACAAGTTTTGTGAACCAATCACAAAGCGAGACGAAGTCAACACCCGATCTAAAATTGCTCTTGTTTGTATGTCCGTTCGTTTCGAGTGACATTTTGACACGCTGAGCCAAATTTCTCACAAGAATTAAGTTAGACGGTTGTTTTCCATTGAGTTTTTGATTTTGATGTTACTCAGTTATTAGTGATCATGACTCCAGCAAGGATGCGTCAAAAGAGATGTGTGTAACAATTCAGTTGACACGTTAACGACCAATCCCTTATCAAATAAATTCTTGTGACAAAACAGCAACAAAAACCATGCAAATTAAGGCAAGATAAGCGATTAAACTGTAGAATGGCAAATAATTTGCATTCAAATATCCCTAGTGTCAGTTTCAGTTATTTGGAGATCTTGCTAAAATGCAATTTATAACGTAAAATACATTTATGCACGAACATTCTTAAGCTTTATGTTTCTGTAAATCAATTCTTAGACCACGATTTATAACTGAGCTTGCTCGTGTCTAACCTTCAATAAATTGTGTGGCCAAAACAGCTCAACCTTTTCGTAATCTGAACCCTTTTCCCTGTCCGTCTTCAGGTGGAGAAATGTGGAAATCTGTTGAAGGTAAGTCTGCTTGAAGGCTTTGGATGGCTTTTTTAAGAGGACAGTCTTTGTGGTATCCCCTGTTTTTTTGTCTTTAAAGTGTGCCACCAGCTGTGGAGTATCTCCATATCTTAGTTCACAAATGCTGGATGTGGTACTAAGAAGAGAGTAAGGAAGAAGCTGCTCTCCAAGGATAAGATTTACCAAGGTACTCTTTCCTGAGCTTGTTTCGCCTGGTAAGTGTAAAAAGGTGAAAATAAGGGGCGAAGAGGGAAACAACATAGGTAAGAATGCGTCGATTCCACTAAATTTGTGTCGAACAAAAGAGTCTAGTTCCCCGGTCATTTACACCAGAAATCCCTAATGAAACACAATTTCCCCTCTTTTTCTGATTCGTTTTCGTACAAAACTATTCTTTGTGCTGTCGGCCATTGGATTGGTATAATGTTTGAATGTAGCCTTCTTTTCTGATCCAGTCTTGAATTTTAATCTATTGCGTAAGGAAGTTGGCGAAACTAAAATTTAAAAGGAATGGCGATCAACTTAATTACTTATTTATTACAAACCTGCAACAAGAACAATGTACTCTCTTTGCAGAAGATCTTTTTGGTGGGAAACAATTTTGTCCTTGAGGTTTGCAATGTTATTTTCCAAAAGGGTTTGAACCTTCTCATCCATCTTGTTCAAACAAAGATCCGAGCGTTTGTAGAAATCGAGCAAGGTTGCTCGTTTTTTCTCGTCTTCTTTCTTTGCCTCCGTCAACACTGAAAACGCCTGATAAATGTCACAAGGCAAATTAAATGCTATGGATCAACATTCGTCTGAGTAAATTAAAGATCACTTTTCTGCCTAATTGGTTAATTTTACGGCTTTACAGTCATTTTTGAAATCTTTGTTACTAATAACATTCCTTCTATGGCGCTCAAACATCGCTGTTTTGAGTGCAGCTTAATTCAGGGCATACTGACATTCATAAGGCTGGTTTAAGCTTGAAAAAACAACCGCAATGCAATCATCTATGGGCTAGCGTTTTCATTACGTTATCCATGAATACTTATGTAAATATCCATGTATTATGTGAACCAAAGAAAATGGTGATGTTTAGCTAAAGTAGGCTAGGCCTTGCCAAGATGCTCCCGAACGATTCACCTTCAGCAAAGGAATCCAACTCTTCGGTGACAGTTAAGAATAGTAGAAAAAATTGTGGCTTCTTTTCACCGTAGAAAAGCATTAGGCCAGTCTGGACTTTAAGTCTTTCGTCACATATTTTGCATAAATTATGATCCAAGCTTTTCGAACAAAATGTAAACCTGATACAATCACCAACATTTAACCAAAGGGTTGTAAGTTTCCGAACTTTAATCACGGGGCACGAGGAAAAGGCAGAATTGAAGCATATCAGACCAAAATTTATCAATCCTCGATGTTCTAAGTGCCATAAATCTCAAGTTGAACCTTCGAGGCTCGATCGTTGCTCAACCAAGCCTGCCAAATTTTGAGCATCAGTATGCATGGTAATCTCTCACTGTGGGAGCTCAACTTATCAATTTCTTATTAAAAACATTTCGGTGACACTTATGATCAGTTGTAAGGATCGTTGATGAAAGTTTCCATAAGTAATAGACGGCCTGGTAATTAGCTCTACGTATTGTTAAGTGTGAACTTAGAAAAACATTTGGCGAACGAGTGAATGCTACGATTTCCATCCATAGCAATTAGGCTTCTTCTATTATTACTTATTTCTGAGATGCCATCATTGAAAAGATCCACATGAAATAACTCGTAAACGATGGCTAAATTAGCGTCGAGAGAGCTGTTAAACAATTCGGGACTGAATTGCCCGATACAAACAGCATTTATCATTTATAATTTATAGATACTTCCGCCATTTTGCAGAAAAGGTCGTTTATACATGAATTGAACTCGCAAGTAGTAGCCCGACGTGTTTTAAAAGGAAATTATAGAATTCTCACCTCCTTTGCCGTCCAACTTGACTTTTTCTCTGACGACCGGAGTGTCTCTTTTAATTTTTGTTTCATTTCGTCTAACGATTGCAGCCCATCGGCCGAAATGTTTAACGACGTCATTATGGTTGCCATCTTTACGATGTTGTCGATCTTGTCAATGTCTGGTAATACATTCATGTTGCACATCGATAACTTGAACGCTTATAATCAAAATTGAGTCAGTTCTGGGTCTAAAAGCTAGGAAAACTACGAAAAAGGATAATATAAGCCTTAAAAGTTGCGCTTTATTTATCGCAGTCCATTACACACCAAGTGTCTGATTAGGGTAGCACACTGTTACGCATCCTCGCCACTGACGATCATTGTATGAACTTGTCCGACAATCAAAGCGTGACTGATCACGCCATAAGCAAATATGGAGGAGAATAAATAAAAAATAGGTACATGTCCATGGAAAAAAAAGAGCGGGCAACGAAGTTTTGTTGATTGCATTCAGAGCTAATCCTTTTTTAATGTTTGTCAAAAAGGAGGTTAGTATCCCAACAATCGCAAGTCCTTAAAAATTGTGGAACCAATTGCCTTCTTTACGCCCAAACTCTAATAGAACTCAAACTTTCGTTGTCTTTTCTCTCCGTTGTTGAATTTGTTGTTGTTTTTTTTTTTTTGTTAGTTTGTTTACTTTATTTATTCGTAGTATAATTTCTTTTTACTGATTAGAAACCTGCACCTTTAAAAATTACCGTGGGTCAAATTGCTTAAAAGTTTTCTTAATTCTTTACTACTTGCTCAAATTTAACGAAAACAGTTTACAATATTCATTTCTTTGTTTGTAAGCCTACACAATATCGATATAAAATGGATTCTTAGAGGCCCTCAAATAGAAAAATATTTGTAACCCTGTCCCACACAAATTATTGACTGAAATAAAATTTTTGCAATTTTTGATTATGGTTTGAGGGGTATTGGGTTTTTTAGAGACGACATTTCATATGAAAAAAAAAATCAGCACGGTCGGCGTATTAGAGAAGGAGGCTTCGTTGAGAGGTTTGGCTTATCGGTGTGTTAACACTGGCTCGTTTATTTCTTCGTAGAGTATGATTAACTTTTCGTGACATGCTGTGGAGTGCGGTCGACAGTCTGGTTTCCAATCCTAGTAACGCTGCACCAGACCTTGCCATTCCTTTGGAGGCTCCGTCACTGTCTTTAACATGTTCCGGTGTTATACATGAATGCCTTTAAAGGCTCTCTTACCATACCACATCTCCCATAGCATTACATCAAAGCTATATATATCCGCTTTGCGGTCGTAGTGTTTGAAGGAGGCCACCTCTGGAGCCATGTAGTGAGGAGTTCCCATCTGAGTACCTGTGATCATGTCTTCCTCTTTAGATAGGCCGACATCGGCTACCTTGACA